ATATATGTAGAAAGTAAGTAGTCCTTGTAGATTTACTCATATAGGCATTGAAGGCCGCAAACAAGTGAAAAATCCCTTGTATAGCTCCTTCCTTCCTCTGGGGGCTGGGACACGTCTATTGAGAGTCACTTTACAGTCGTTATTATCAGTATTTTCATTGATTATGGATTTACCCAGACTCATCTAGCATATTGTGACAGAGACTACCCTTCAGTACTACAACGCTGATACTCTTAATCTGATGTAGCGGGTTTTTCCACATGTGCTTTTTCAAATATAGACTATGTTTATATGACAATATGTATTTGATTTACCCTCAAACTCTTAATGACAGTTGAAACTGATATGCTTGGATACGTCTGACTATGTGTATATTTGTATACAGTTAATCGATGTTGTAGTCAATTTGCAACTTTTTCTCTATTGCCAATTATTGTTGCTCTCTATAGTTTTATGTAAAGTAAGTTTGTGTTCCTGGGAAATTCATAGCTCTTGCATGAGAATCAAAATACAAGAAAAATTTTGGTGTCTCTGCATCGTTCTACTGCTATTTCTCTGCTGTAGTAACTAGTTAAACGCAAATCTTCCATCAATTATATATAATTATGCAAATATAACTGTTTGCCATTAGCAAGTTAGGGCTGTGTTTTCTTAGTTCTAAATGAACTAATTCTCAAAGCCTTTGCGAATTATGTGCGATCTGAATAAGTTATAGTTTAAAGTTACAAAAGTAGGATGATTTTGAAATTTAATCCGTTCGTTCTCTCTGAGTAGCTTTTTTTGTACCCATTTCATTTAAAAATTGCTACGCGTTACTTTATAAATAGATTGTGCCATGTATAAAGCGAAAGCTAAACAATAGCCTGAAAAATAGCCAATGGCAAACACTTATATTTAGGGGGTCTCTGCACTCTAATATTATAGAAACGACTGGAGCCCTCAAAACCATCCTGTGTACCTCGGAAAATTTTAAATCGGCTTTCCTGTTTTTTAGCCCCCTACGACACCTTCCAATCAACTACATTTACCACCACTTAATGAAGCATTTTGTGAACTTCTATCCTGATATACGTGGTCGACCCGGGGAGAATCTTGAACAATAGTTGTAATATACGTGCTTCTCGAATAATCTTAACGTACATAGCCGCTGTTTTCATTATGTGTCGTATTGTCATTATAGCGTTCTTCGTTTCATTTTGAACTGCGGTGCTGGTGTTGTTTGAATGATCGGTGTGTAGAGTATTGCGTTGTATTGTAATCTCAGTAATTTACAATTGTTACGTATTATTAGACGTCGTGACCCGTTCTCTTCAGTAATATTTTGCTGGCGCTGTTTAGTAACTGAATATATTAGACCACAGGAAAATCTTCGTTAAAAACACTTTTTTCTACTCGGATATAATCATACACATAAACCTATTTGCTTTTGATGTTTGTGCTCCATGTGACGACATAGTTAACCGACTTGTCAACCAATAGCGACTGGGAACTCATTGGACTTCTTCCGATCGCGTGAAGAATAATAGGGAAATGGAAGAGAAATTGATAGGTATAACCCATTTTCGTTAGACCGCAGGATCGCTACCCCGTTCGAGTATTCGGTTAATTTGTTACGATAGTTCTGTTAATGGGCTTAATTAGGTCTCGAGTGTTTTTTTTTTTAGTTACCTGAACGACAAAACCAGGTTCAGGACTATTCCGCTATACATTGACAGTACTCTTCAAAATGTTTTTGTTGTAGCCATTCGATGACGTATATATATATATATAGAAATAACGGTGTAATGGTCTTTTGCGTGTTATTAAGACGTTTGTTGTGAAAAAAGCTTTGTTGCACCCAATTGACTTCAATTTGACGCAAGTAGACTGAATGGCTGTGTCTTCTGGGGTCATGGTATTCCAGTTTTTTTTCGCTAGGCATCCTGTATCGTCGGTTTAACCTTTTGGTTCACTTTCTAAGAAGCAACGTCGACAAACGTCGTGCAGCAGATGTTTTCGTTCATATATATCAATTATGTTCAAAATTCTTAGTTATTATTGTATGTTATAATCCTGCGTTGACTATATCGTTGTTGTTTAACTTGTTTCAGTGGAAATGTGATGTTTCCTTAAAAAAACAATTATGCGCCATTATCCTCATTACTAGCTTGCTTGATTCATTGATTAATTGCATGTGTTGCAGTTTGATCTACCCGGTTATTGTTGCGAAAAGCCCTCGCCAGTCTTTAAGGATCTGCTATAATCTAGCACGAAATCGGTAACTCTCATAGTTTTTGCGTGTATTTATAATCGTACGCTTCGATGTTTTGCATTCAACACATTTTTTAGTACTTTCTACGACTACGAATCACTTGTGCTATCTATGGGGAAGTTGTTGCCACATTATTGCCGCCGGTCTAGTGTTATCAATCACTTACAGCATCTCAGTTTTTTTTCTTTCAGGGAGAAAATGTAAGGAATATTTACAACAAGCGGGTTTACATCACATCGAAAGATTAAGCTACATCCGTCAATTAGACAACACACGATATCACCACGTATATATAATCCAAGTAGGTAATTCATAATGCATGTCAGTAGATAGCTGTAGTCGTAACAACGATAGCACACAACCGTGAAGGGGACGTGGCTAGTATTTGTCAGCACTGGACCGGCCTTCGAGGCAAAAACATCGTAATGTTTTTCCCATCATAATCATTCTTTACAAACCTCTCCGGTTATCTGATTTTGAATTATTTACTAGGCCAGTCTTCAGTCTGTCCGCATTTAAGAATAAGTACTCCGTTTTTGCAAGAGGGCTTCTTTAGATTGGAATTCCAATGCTACATTTTAATGTAAATCACTACAATCCCAGCGAATACACATGGGGCTCAAGTGTAGTTTGCTGTGCCGAAATGCCTGAGGTGCGCAGCCGATTAGCAAAGGTCAGCTTAGTGTTGATGGCACTCATTCCCTCATTCATGGCGAAACTGGTCGATCAGGTAACAGGTAATAATAAAATTACGACATCATACACAATGATTATGTATTCCCATACATAGTAAGCGATAAAGACAAAGGAAACGTAACTCGATTACGTGAAGTCGTCTACTATATTCCGAAAGTACTATTACTATTGTCATTATTATTTGGCTCATTGTAGGAAATTTGACGTCTCTCCAGGTTAGGATTTGATCTACAGGTTTGGAACTATATCGACCAATATTACATAAACGTAAACTACTATCACGACTGTTGCATGGCCCAAGGTTCATTGGTATACCCAATAGCAAATACGGCGTTGTTATTTGTCCATGCGCGTACCTGTAGCCTTATATTAAGGTACCTATGAACTTAACATAATCCTGCTTACTAAACGCCTTGCGAGGTGTGTACAATGAATCCGTGGTGAGACGTGAAAGCTTTCAATCTAAAGGTATGAAGCAATACGACCTCCTCTGTTTCAAATTGCGTGTGACACTGCGCTATGAAATGTCACTTACCCTAAATGTCAAAAAACTTAAAAAATTTTAAACAGAGAATATCAGCTGTCACCAACCGCACTTTCAAAGACTAATATTGTAATACAATGGCACGAAGATCAGCTGATCTTTCTTATGTTGTGTTTTATTATATTACAGTATTGTATAATATGTATATAAGAGGCTAGAAAAGTGATGTATTGAGAGCAATATTCATTTAAACTAAGGTAGGACGTGTCTTTTGTGTGTAGGCTCATTCAGTAACCCAATTTAGAAGCAGCTCCCTTAGACCACATCTTTAAATGGTCATGTAATATTCAGCTGACTTAAAAAAATCTATTGCAGTAAAGATATACGAAGGCAACATCTGCGTTTGATTCAAATGGGCGTATTTCAGTTCAAAACTGGTGTCAAGGATGCAACGTCTATTATGTCGTAGGCTCTGGAAAATGGTCGTGAAAAAATAGCTTTGCACGAAAATCTTGAAGGCCTCATTGATAAACAAATTCATAGCGAATACTTTAGCTACATTTAAACGGCCAAACATCGCCTGTTGTCTGTTCGTCCGCGTTTTTCTAGAAACATAACCATGTTATTTGTTTATCCTGGGATATTGTTTTAACAGTATGTTTGTGATGCTAGGGTCAAACGAGACAACCGTACGTTCGAAGCATAACTTGGTAGCATAAATGTAAGTGTCATTAAAGTATCGGATGGGTTTGTTCCTGGGTAAGATTGCTTAACGGAGACATCATTGAAGCTTTTCTTTTTTTCTTCAGTATTACGGTGCGGGACAGATTAATGATAATATTTCTTTGAGGTTGTTGTACTTCTATTTTGCTGTATAAAGCTTAACGGTCAATTAGCGATTACCGACTATCGGAAAAAAATTTTGGTTCGGTTTAATTCTATCCTTCAGCACAGCTATACAGCCCATTGGTGTAATGTGAAGTAAAAAAAAATCATCACAGATATTAACTAAATATATCTGACATTCGAACTGTTGATTATTGTCGTTATCATTGCCCTTCGAGAAGTAACAGATTTAACTAGACTAATTTTCACAGATTAGCAAAAAAGATAACTTTAAAGCTGTCAAAGAACTCATAAGTTTAACAAAATGTTTTTTCAGACTGTGTAACAACTAAGTTTAAGAAGAACGTTTATTACTGGCAGGAGATAACAAAGATGACAAAAATGTTTGTAGGGGACGCTTAATGGTTGTGGTACATTATAATAAACGCCTATAATTATAGCCTTCTATATTCGTAAAATGTATCTATTTCTTTCAAATGTGTCTCGTACTTAGGTTCCATTGAACACTCATTAAGGTAATCACCTAGATCTGAGAGAGTGTCAGACATTGATCTGCAAAAGTTGACAAAACCGGTCCTGCGTTACTAGTGATATTAAACGTTGGGAAGATCTGATATCGACTTCTGAGTATGGTTATCATAAGTATTATACTACAGAAGTTTTTCAGTGTATAGTCGTTATTCATTATTATAATAGAAATGTAAGAATGGAGCCTTTTTTCTATTTTTCTTTCAGGACACAACCACAATCGTTTAGTTTAAGTACAGCAAGGCTATTAGCCCTCAAGCAAATAGGAAGGAGCTTTGCGTGTGCTGACAAATTTATTTGTTCATCCCCACGTGGGAAGAAAATATTATTATAAACCTCTAATGGCCTTAATTTGTTCGGAACTCAAAGGTAAAGTACAAGTCTTCGAGAGCCGAAACAACGATTTTCGTAACGATACAACGTAAACATATAGGTGAAGAGAAAGGTTAGCCCCTTCATTTTGTCAAAATGTCCAGACTGGCTCTGCTAGTCTCCGCAAAAATCCAACTGCCCTTTTACGCACCGTCGCCATTTCTTCGTGCCGACGTAGGACAAAGTTCTACAAAAAAACATTATCGATCAGTTCATTATCGTCTAAATGTGGCTCTCAACGATTACTTTTGTATATGGAGTGTTAATCTTGGAACGAAACGAGGTATAAACATAAGAAATAATTTTTTGTTGTACCGCATTTGATTTAGCAAGCGACGAATTATGTATTTCTCGTTTGTCTTTAGAGAACCAAAACAAAGTATATCATTAAATCAAACGTAACTCGTACAGTATCGTAGATTTTTTTTGTCAGCATTGATTTACGCATTGTTGTCGGAACGTCTTAAAAACTGCCCATTGTTATTTGCCCAGTGGGTCCCGTCTGAAAAATTAGAATTTGCTTTTTTGATGATTTTGTACATTTAAATTTCTCTTGATGCTTCCACACACACACACGTATTCACAGAAAGATACACAGTCTACTCAAACACTAGCTACATGTACATAAATGTTCGATTTCAATTTTCCGCTACTAGGAATCATCGTTTAAATGTGTTTACACCATCCCTATAGTTCACTGTCCTCTGTGTGATTTCGCAACAAGACACCCAGAGACAGCTAGGCCCATGGACGAAGGCTCGCTCACATACAAACATTAGGCGCAGGTATCTATACGATCGTGTATGAAAAAGAAATGTCAAAGATGTATTATTTTTAACGCAAAATACACCGTGTTCGATGTCACCATTTTGTATATTTTTTTTCTAGCAGCAATATTTTTTTAAGTAAGTCCTTAATAGTGGTTCTTTTTTCGCATTATTTCGCTTCGTGTGTAAACATCTAGATACTTATACATTTATAGTTACTGTGAACCTTCCCAAGTTCTGCGATTCTCATGATTACCGTACCATTAATATATTTACTATTATTGTTATTATGCAGTAGTCGCTGGAAGAATCATCAGCATTACGTATGGTATACAACTTGTCAATCCTCTTATTGTGATTGTTATCATAGTAGTCGGAACTGACATCCATCTCATATCATTGTCGCTAGCTAATAGTATACACACAATCAATTCATTAAGTTTGTCAATTATGTTTAGACTTAATACATCAATCGTCTCTTATCTTCATCCATGATCACGTTTGTCATCTCGCTCTTATTATTAATGAGTCATCATGTTGCTTCCCTCCTTGCACCCGTTTTACATTCACCTGCTGCACACAGTCGCCAACTTCGTTAGTTCTCTCTTTCTGTCTCTTTTGAGATTGTGTGAAAGATATGAATATATCACTGTGTCCACGAATGAGACAAATACCCCAATCGGTATGGACAGTAACCTACGCTGATGACATCAATGCCGGTGTCACGTAACTGGTATTGCGTCTGCTCATAGTGGACTTGATTTCAATATCGGTATAAATTACGAAGTTATAGTGATGCAAAGTACGTTATGTTTTTCGTGATTGGCTGACAATTGATTGTCCTTGCCTGTGACTGATGACCGCTGGTTGTGAACTTTGCCCTTTATGTAGCTGTCGTTACTTTGAATGTTTCCGTGCACCGTGATTATAGGCTTGCGTGTTGTTTTGCTGTTTATTTACGTTGTAGCTTGCTATTCCACATTGACAATGTTTCCCCTTGTTTTCCATTTTCATCGTCATTGTTTGTCGACTACGCCTGTGACGGATTCAAGTCACCATATGTTTATCAACATCAAATCATTGCTTATGTTGTTATTTCGCTCGGGAGTATCGTTTCGAGAAACAGTTAGCCTACAATCACAATGATAGCAGACGCTACTGGTGGCGCTGCTGCTCTTACTGTTTACCAAGCACCTGAGTCTTCACTGAATCATCTATAAATTTACTATGATATTCCTACTATTATGTACAAGCACGTCATAATTATGCCTGCTATATTAAATAGAAGTCAATTAACAGTTAGACAATCACGTCAACGTAGATATGGTCGGTACTGCCAACCGTAAACAATTATAATTTTATTACAATCCTTATTTTTATTGTTGCTCTTATTATTGTGAATATACCCAGGTACGCATGTCGGCCTCAGTTGTCTCCATACATTAGTAGCATTTAACTGGCCACGTGTACCTATTTCCACGACGTTTTATTACTTTAGATTTACGTACTATATATTCTCTAGTTGTAATTAACTATACAGCAACGACTTGATCGTCGCACTCGTTATCTGTTCACATCTGAAGTCTTTCCGACAAACGTAGAATGTCTTAAGTTCAACCTGTAGAGTTTGAGCATCCGCGCCACGATATCATACGACTATAATAATAGGTACCTTATCGGTTTACGTTTCTGATCGAGTTTAAGGTCGACGCCCATTTTTTGTCATATGCTCCAGCTTTCGACCTGTTGACCAGAGACTTCCGATATTTATACAAATCCAAGTTAGAGTTTGATGCGGTTGAACTGTTGCTCGGACGTTGGCGTTGTCGGTTCCGACACCTCAGCTTGCACTGAAAGTTTATGTCGGACAGGAGCATGTGATCCGCCAAATCCACCCGATGTCTCACCCATACTTGGCCCTGGTGTACTTTCAACCTCAGCTGCGTCCGATTGCCGCGCTGCTTCGTGGCAGGGGGCGCGCGGCGGTAACGGCAATCCCTTCTGTCGAGCGTACGCCTCCCAACGTGCGTCATCCGATTCGTGCGTGAGATAACGCTGTTTAACATGCGCTTCCAACCGTAAAAGGTCGGACCACGTATCGAAGTCCTGCAGCCACACGTGCACCAGCGACTTGTCCACCGTTAAACGCTTTCTTGTCTTAACCTGTTATTTTAGGCAAAGCATGAAAGTAGAGATCCCAGTCGTTTCGACTACAAGCAACTCATCGTATGGATTCTCTATACCAGTGAGTTAGAGCTTAAACGCTATTTTACGCTATTCTGAGCTAAGCTTGAATAGATATTCAAAAAGGCTTACGTTTTGATTGGTTGACAAAGTATTCAATCGGAATTAGGGTCCCTTTTGTAGATTAGGAAATTTTAGCTTTAATTCTGCTTAGTTCAAGGCAGCCTTTAGAATCTAGCTCAAGTGTGTGCAATGAATACTGCAAAACAACATACGAGCAGCAATAAACTGAAGAATTACTTTCGATATAGCAGTTGTATATTGATCACACATGGAGCAAGCAAGTTGAGGCAAAGCAAGTTAGAAAAATGAGCTGATCATTTACCTGCAAGAGGTTAGTGATAAGATCGACGGCTTCAGGTGAGATCTCTCTCCACGGTTGCGGGGGATACATGAAATCCGCGTTCTGGATCTGATCATTAATGTCTTCATCCTAAAACACACACAGACACAGATTATCAGAAGTTTGCTTATTAGTTAATCATGATGCTTACGTGTTGATCTGAGCTGATCTTAGAAAAACAGATATGTACTAGAAAGCCAATAATAAGCAAACGGTTTTCATTATCAGTAAAACAGACACTGAACATTAGTCTGTCAATGACTCTAACCTTTCTTCGTTAGTGGTTGGGCCTGCAGAAGCCAAATCGGTTAACGTGCTAATGGTGATGCTACTTCACGCAATAGTTTAAAGAACTATTGCTAAAGTCAGCTGTATAGGAACTACCCTTTAAGTTTCAGAATAGCATGACTGGACAGTAACTTCAAATGATTCATTGTTAACTTGACAGCCAACTTGAGTTACTTATTCTACTTGGAAGCACATATTGATATGCATTAGCAAATCTGATCCTGAGATTGCATTTAGTTTCTCAATGGATACAAAAGGCTATTGTGTATTACACATCAGCAGAATTTTTAAGCTGCGAAAAATATCTTACCTCATTAAAAGGGAAAGTGCCGGAAAGACTGACGTAAATGATTACGCCAACGGACCACATATCAAGCGAACGGTTATAACCTTTATTTCTTAGCACCTAAAATTAGCTCAAATAAATATAATTCGAAACGTGCTTTATTGGAATCCGTCAATTATGATAGTTGTATTACGCATAGTTACGTCGTGACGACGTTTACAAAATAGGAAAAAATTGACAGAGGGCACTATATTTTTGAACGCTTCCGCGGCAAATACTCAAAGGAATTACCTTCTCATAAGAAGGTCTTCTTCAGGGACTCCCAAAACGTGCCTCCATTTTCCTACTTAATAGCACCGCGTCTCTATGTATGTAACGAATAGTGAAGCTATATAGGTTTGGGATTTTCAACAACGCATACAGGTCAGATAATTTGTGTAATTCTGACTTTCAACCCTTCAACCTGACTATCAATATACATTTTTCTCTTGTGTGAATAAGGTTTTTCTCTGCACTTGGCCTCCTAACTACATTCATTTTTAAATGGATTTGAAAAGATGAGAATATCTAGGCCATTTTAGCGTGCCATTTTTTGCATTTCGTCGAACATTTAAAACCATAAGAAAATCAAATGTTTAGTTTATTTCTCTACTACAGCATTCTCCTTCACAAAAGTGCGTTCTAAGATAGGTCCAAAACGAGGTTCATTTTAGAAATGTGACCACCTTCGGGTCTATGCAGGCCAGGCTACGTGCATATACTAGCATCATCAATTATTTACACGATTTCGTATGGTACACATACAATCTAAAAATAAAAGAAAGTTGAACGGACTGTATATACAGGGTGCGGTGTCTGAACTAGAACATTCATATGCTTTGTTTCAAAATTATATCCAAATAAAGACGTATATTTCAATGATTTTTTTTTTGCATGAGCTCCCGATAGTTCGGTTAATAAATGTAACTACCATTCACCACGATCGCACTTTCAACACGGGTCCCAAATAGACATAGCGGCCTTGGTCGTGACTATAGCGGCCATCTGGGCCGTTATTCGTCTGCTAGTCAATTTCAAATTTCGAGCGCTTGAGATACGTTATTTTTGACTGGACACGCGGGAAACAGACGGGGAAATAAAGTAGGTGGACCATCACAATAAGAAATGGAGAAAAACGAAATAGTAATTTATAAAACACGTTGAACGGTGTGCAGTCAAGGGTACGTATGCGTGTAAGTTTATTTAGTATTTGCAGGCTAGATAACAAAGGTGCAGTTATCGCGTCTTTTTGCAAAACGTGTAACTAAATCTGCAATGTTTAAAGCTGGTAAATAACGGTAGAGAGTAACCATAAGGAAGGTTCTTCGTAATGATACCAAAACAAGCGCAAAACCTATTGAAACTTTTGTGGAGAGAGCATATATTCTGTGACATTCTTTATTTGAAGTGTGATCCATGAGGCCTATTGGTTTATGTAGCATAAGTTGACACTTGTATTTAGTTGAACTTCGATGAAAAAAGCCAAAACCGGTTGCGACAGTCGTATTTTATCATTCGTATTATTTAATCGTATTATTTAACTGCTCATAGGCTAACTTTAAATGATCCCTTTGCAATTCTATAAACACCTTCATAACGTAGACTCCTGCTAAACGACGTTCACTACGATGTGGTTCAACAGGTTTGCATCTGGTCTGTTTACCTATAGGAACACACTTGTATTTTCAAGCCAATTATTGGAAGAATATGATGTTTTTTGAGACATTGTTAATATCCACGATTTCGGAACAACTCGTAGAACATGCAGGTAAACTTTTCCCTTACGTGTCCACCTATCTGAAGGAGGTATGCTAACATGACATCTTCACTGAACACCACACTCAGAACATGATGAAAATGTGTTTCTACACAGAATAGACACAACTCGTGAAAAACGTAGCTATAATTTCCAAGGTTTATTTTGGATCGAGCATAAAAACGAGAGAAAAAAAATAGAGAGAAATCTAAGGTGATTTGCAGTTTCATTCGTAAAACAACTGAATTAGAATTAGCACCGGTCTTTAGTCTCTTAGTTTTAGTATCCCAAGGAAGCATTTGTCTGGCTTATCCGATATATATCGTGTGCCTGAAGTCTTCATCAGCAATCCGTAACTTCGAATGCTCACCGGTAACACGTTCATAGAATCAGTAGGATTATTAAAAACGAACTTAAAAAAACTGGACGACAGTGATGAACTTAGCATTTCGCATTGTAGGGTTTTTTCTTGTGCTGTGCTGAAGTCTACTTTCTGTTCTTTCTGCAGCTGCATACTCACTTGCCGCAGCGTACGCTGTCGACTTGAGTAATTTTTATTTTCGGTAGATTTGTTTAGTCCGTAAAGAGCGGATACTATCTGATCTTCGCCTAAATTTCGAAAGCGACGCTTTGTTGTTCGCGACGATGAGACTAGTTTTTGTTGGGTACAGGAAGACAAACACTCCATCAATATTTGTCCCAGTTTAGGTGCCGTAACCTGTATACCCAGATAGATCTTATGACAGAGCGTTTTTTCGTATTTGTTATTCTAGACGCGGTTGTTTTCAGATAAATTATGGTAACCGTATTGTTATAACACACTGTCGGTCGGATGAAGTGCACATAAGTGTATGAAATTCTCCCTGCAAATTTGTTGAATGACTGACATCTTCGTTTACGAGCATTAGTGGCGGGATTTGCGTTACCTCCATAGTCTACCACGTGGCGCTAAGTAAAAATGTTTTAAATTATTGTTTTCTTGACAATGAAGGAAAACTCGCTGTTTGGGATACAAAAGAAGGCTCTTCAGCCGAACACGCTAATAGAGTATAATGTTTTCTTCTTTGTGGCAGAGGCTCCTCAACGATTTCGTTAAGTAAATATTGCTTTGTGTAAACTTAACCTTTCTTTTATCAACGTTTACCGTTCGTTGGATCTCTTTGCCCGCACCTGCGTATTTCGGTCACTTTACGCACTCGTTTTTTACTCTCGCATTTTACATACCTCAGGGGCGAGATAGGCTGGCGTGCCCACAACAGATCGACGGAAGCTTTTCTCGCCAATGATTCTTGCGAAGCCAAAATCACATAGTTTCACCTGCAAACAGATGCACATGAACGCAATAAAATACTATGCGAGCAAAAAGAAATAAAAAAAAACTGTATTATTTCTAATCACGAAGTACAAATAGATGGTTGTTTGATTTACCGATGCTTTCTCACAAAACAGCTGAGTGGCAATAATGAAACGTAATCTGAGAGTATACAAATACTGAGAAGAAGAGGTACCTGAGGGAATTCGGAATCACTGCTAAGTAACACATTCTCAGGCTTGAGGTCACAGTGGACGATGTTTTGTGAGTGTAGAAATTTCAATGCAATAAGGATCTGGTAAATGAGAAAACGAGTTGTGCGTTCCGACAGTCTTCCCTGAAAAATGCCACAGATGAAATAAAGCATGCTAACAATTGCCATTCGGTTTCGTCGGTTATAATTGGACTCACGCTGTTAGCGAATTGATTTTCCTCTATAACTGACATCTTAATATAATCAACATAGTTCTATCATCAGTTTATTCTTGATTGACTGAGCAACATGTTAAGCTAACCAACCCTATATGACGCGTCTTATGATTGACTGCCTCAGGCGGCTAAAACAAACGAACAAAAACTAATGTACGAAATAAATGCACGGACCTTGGGTGACTGTAGGATCATTTCTAGCATGTCGCCTTTGAGTTTTTCCATAACGACAAAAATTCGTTCGTGGGTCTCATAGGTCCGTTCAAGCGTCACAACACCAGGATGATGGATGTTTTCTAAAATCGATACTTCATTTTTTAGCTGTGCTTCTTGTTTTGTGGGGAAGCGCAATTTATCGATAACCTGAAAATGGCATGAGTCAATGGCTATAAACTAACTTAAATAATTCCAATAGATGTGGTTTATCTATATATTGCTTTATTGAAAAAGAAGATAAGCGTACCATAAATAAAATAAATAGACCAATTGTAAAAAGAACGATGGTCGAGTGAAAGCATTGCTATTCCTATTCTTGTTACTTAAACAAAATGTGATTCATGCTCGAACCTTGATAGCAACGGGCTGTTGAGTCATCCGATGTACACCGCCGTAAACGATGCCGAACTGCCCACTGCCGAGAACCTCATCCGGAAATATCTGATATCGGAGAGATATAACCATGTTTGAGCTGTTGGCAGTGGCCGACCCAACGCTTCCGGTCGCCCCAGATTGACCGTTTTCCCCCGCAGTTGTTGCGGTTCCACCCTGAAATTTATTTTATTTAGATGTAATTACAAAATTAAAATGGGTAACTTTCGGTAATACTTCGTATATCGGTTTCAGCAAGAAGCATCTATTTATCGTCTTGTCACTTACAGATTTGTTGATATTTAACTAGTTACTGAAAAAACGATACACTGAAATGTATGAATAGGAAGGTGCGAAACTACTAGAATTGACATAAGCAACAATAAAAACGGGCATGTGCGCAGGTAAATCTAGTACGTACTGAAAGGATAACCGGTAATAGAATGTTGAGGCGTTCTGGTAGTAGAGATAACCATTCAGTGCTTAATAGTTTATAATTCATAAGCTACTTTTTATATCAACCATCATATGATGCGCATGGTTTCGTTGGTATGGCACCCGGGCGAACGAGCAGCTCACATAGAATTTATGTCGACGAATATACATTTTGGAATCGATAACAAAGTATCCGAAAATCAAGTAACTATAATTAATTAGATGGGTAATGTGATTCTTGAAGTTAAGGTATAAGTATGTCTCGATGCCTTCAACGACAGACGCTGTCTGAAGGGCAGATCTATTAACATTGGTCCACCTGAAGAGCGCAGAATCGCAACTGACAACTGTGTTTTTCTGTGTCGAATGGGGGTCATACGATTTTCGATACTACAAGGAAAGGCACGATTCACGACTGAGTAGAAAAGCTCGTGTTGCTCACGAATGGTCATATTGGGGTAGATCGTCAAGCTTCTTGCCGTATTCTAGATACCTAATGTCAGTGGCAATTTAACGATGAGGTCTACAAAAATAGCCATGTGCCCTATGACATATAGCTAAAAACGTCATGCTATGCATATAACAAGAGTCTGTGATCGATTCTGTCGTTTAACATTCCAAACAAATTCAATAATAATGTTATTAATAGGCTATTTCTTTACTTCATTTTTACTGGATTGGACCAGGGATTTTAGGCCTCGATTATTTCATAAGTACCTTTCCAGTCGTAGTCATGTTTGACGACACTGGAGGCGTTGCAGATGTGGCAGAAACCGGTAGAAGCGCTTGGCGGATGGCTGTTTCCCAACTTTTGTCGCGCTCTTCGCCGACAAAGTAGGTACATGTTGTTGTCCGTAGCTCAAAGCAAAATTGCTGCAGTGAAAATTCCTTGCGTAACTCTATGGCCACGACTTCCGACAGTGGTATTTCCTTATAGTATTTTGGGCTAGACTCGTTCTGCAAAAGATGAAGCCGATCACACAGTTGCTGTCTTCATCAATATTCCTTCGATCGCAAAAAATTTTGCATCGCCCCTGGCGCCGTCTTAGTACCATCTTAGTGGTTCCAGATAAACATTGATCATGCCCCGAAGAAGCCAGAAGCCTACCTGAAACATGGTGATAGCTTTTGTATCAAGCCTCCAGAAGTGCTTCTTTTTGAGCGCATCCTTGCCCGTGAAATGTACAAGCCACCCTTCCTTAACGATGGCGCCCTGTCCTCGCTTTTTCGTATGCTTTACTGATTGGACGATTCGCATGAGCGGAATGTTGTTCGAAGAGCTTTCATTAAGTGCCTGTTTGTTTTCACCGTCTTGACTTGTCTCCGACATATCTCCTCTTATTGTAGCGCCAGCACTTCTGCCCGACGCATCGGAGAGCATCTGAAACTAAACAGGAAGAACCGTACGACAGTTTCTAGTAACCGAACTACACCGTTATGATTACACAGTAGCTAACCTTTTGTTAAGGAGCATTTTACATATACGTATACATCATTGCTGTTAAATGAGTGCTAGCTCTGAACGTTGTGAGTTTACTTGTGGCAGATATGAACGTGAGCAAAACGAGTGGTCATCGGCCTTTTCTTAGAAGATTCACACACGATACACACCAATCCATTGGTCCGTTGGAAATGATCATTTACATATCGTATATGAACACTTGATCCGCAAAGCTTAGCTAAACGGTAATCAATGATTGTCTGTCTAAGTGTTTTCCGCTAGTACTGTGCAACGCTTTGGCTGCCTCAGCCTTCACGATTTGACCCTTTTCTTTTTGGTTTTCTAACCTGGGTCGTTCTATCACTGGGTTGCATCGCGTTGTGCCGACCGACGCCAGCAGACACAGCCGAAACAGAGATGGTTCCAGCCGTTGTCGCGTTTAGGTTCATGTTATTGTTGTGATTCATGCTGCTGCTGTTGTTGTTGTGAAGATTGTTGTTGCTGCGACCCTCATGATCAATATCGTTGTCGCTGTCAGCGTCATTGTCGGCGTGTCCATCGACCGCCGTGTCGGCCGATGTGTCCGAATTGTCAACCTGTATTAGTTTGCAGGCAAACACACATCCAACATAGTTGGTTTAAAAATCCTCAGAATCCACTAAAATATTTTTGATTCGAAATTATCCAATTTACAATACTCCATAGATGACTACAAGAAACATCGTCTCGTCTCGTCTCGTTTGGCCTAAAGCTTAGATTATCGTAGCGCAAAAAATCTACGTTAACGAATTTATTAGCGTCACCGTTACATCGATATGTATTATCAATAGGTACTATTACGTAAAACCACAAAATACCCAAAGTATTAGGATGCTACAATCAATAGAGAGTTAGCATATGTTGTTTTTACTTTTTTCATTATTATTATTATTTAGAAATTTCATGGGGTTTTTACAATATTCACGAAATGTATAATGGGGAAAACCTAAAATATAAAAGATGGTAAATACCTCAATATGGTCGTCCGGCAGCCATTCTTTGGGGGCCTCTCCTGGGCAGTTCATAGCAATTCTGTCTTGGCATTTCCGATGTACGTTAAATCTGCAATCTTTGCATTGCATTCCTTGGCGGAATAAACCCTTTAAAAGCTTTTTGCAGTGCTGACATATCGTTGGTTTTGCATAGGAGTGTACCAGGAATGAATGAGGAATCCTGATGCGACCCGCAAGTTCTCGTTCAACCCAGGCTGGTCGGCCCATATTCAGTGACGGCGAACGCTTCTCGCGACACGGAGGAGTCGCCAACAAAGCACTAAAAATAAAAAATATTATAAAAATATTTATGTTAATACCATTCCACTATATTTAACATAATTGCAATACAGGTGATAGTATATGCTCGTATACGCAGTTACTGAAAATGGGGTCTGATTCCCTAATGTTTATATATAAACAACGTAAGCAATGACTGCAATTAGAGGTTTCTATTTATGCCTAGGGTGAGTGCGCTGCGTTTGGTTAAAAATGGCGCACGTCCCTCGTTATTCGCAGATCATCTACCAGTAGGTCGCGAACTACGCTATACATGTTGAAGCATAGCTCAAATGGACCCGAATGAAACTTACTGGCCGCTTTATTGAGCCAATCGACAACGTATCATACACCCTCAGACGGGATGTTGCAGGATCATCGGAAAGGTCAAATGTAGTATTCCTACTTCTTCTTCCGCAAACAAACAGCTAGTTCATGCTTATATCTCAAGTTTATGTCTGCATGGAACGCATCTGTACGGATACATTCGAAGCTCGTTACATTACAGGTACATAAGGTTCTCAACAGCCCTCACTAGTACATCGTATTTCATTGATTCTCATGACCTACAGGCCCTGGTATACCGTTGTTGACCTTAAGAGCCGAAAGCAGTTTGAGTTTTTGTTACAAACAGTCTGTAGCGCACGTGCATGTTCCCGGAAAGCCTTGTATTTGTAGTACTAATCAAGCGCAAATGTTTCTAATGTACGTTGCAAGGAAACGTCGTTCAACATGAGCTTCTATATAAAATTACTTACGCCCCATTGAAGTGACGAGCGTACAGGTAGGTGTAACTTTGACGAACCACAACGCTAATGTGTAAACAACGCTTTATAGGCTTGTCCAGAAAATATTCGTATTTACATATGTACTTTGTCATGCTTTTATTTACATACTTTGTCGCTTATCCAAGGAAACGGTTCCATTAAAAACACAAATTTATATTTAACACTATACGTCCTTCGTTCACGATTGCCATGGACTATCAATACGATGAGCTACTAAATACGAATGATCTTAAAGAACATGTACGATAATATCTCTACATACATGGAAGTATATTATGTTCTCTACCTGTGGTCATCGATGAAAGCTGGTATTGAGGAAGCAGCACGAGTCACTTCTGCGGGAGTTCCAAGTTGTTTTCCAGCTCCGCCAAGTTCCTTAAATTCACAACTGGGGCTCGATGACTTATGGCCCGTTGGAGTTGGTGGTGTCACCGGAAGATAACTGGAAGATCTCCGTCTGCGTGTGTGTGTACAATTATTAGGAATCTTATATGCACACCGTTTGTGAAAATTTTGTCCGCAGCCATCACATTTCAGGCCTTGCCGCACAAGGCCGAACAGCATCTCACCACAGAAGTCACAGAACGTCGGCGACTTGTATGAATGAACGGCAAGGCAGTGTGGCCTGATGTCCACGTCATCTGACGGGTCCTTTTGTGATACGACAACCTCGACCAACGTTCCCTCATTGATCTCGGATACGCTGTTAATAGGCACCAAGAGTGCCTATAAAATTAAAAAGTACTGAAATACTATGGTGGAACAGATTGCATTGGCCGAAATACTTTTTAAGTGTACATTAGTTTCAACTTAATTTGGATTTTCGAGTGAGCGCGCTTGCGGCTTGGCCCAGGTCGCGCATGGACACGCATAGTAATACAAAATATTCTCTTTTCTACAAAGACTCTGTAAAGAAGATAATATAGAATATTCTACGCTAAAATACCTCTACAACATTCACAATGAAATATTATCTAAAAAGCTAACTTTTTAGAAGGGTTGTAATGCATCGCAGCCCAACCCAACCCAACCCAACCCAACCTCTTTCCTCCCTTTTCCTCGTACTCCTAATTTAGCATTTCTTAAGTCATACACACGTTCTGTTCAGGTCAATTTGCTGTAACTACAGTTATTTTAGCTAAGTGTGGTTTTGGCGACAGGTACCTCAGCGGAGTAATCGTGTCGAAACAATAGTAAACGCTCGGGAAGTCGATTAAGTCCGTGATCTGGAAATTTTCGGTCGACGAAGTTACATGCAAGATCCTTTAGTGACTTGAGGTTAAGGTCACAGCTCTCTATCGACACCGAGTCGCGTTGAACACCCGATTGCATCACGAAGCAAAGCTGAAGTACAACAGGAACATTGTAAGAAGAACAAGATTAGAGTTGATGTGTACAAGTTACTGCTCTTGGTCAATATGGTTTCCATAACCGAATGCATTTCAACATTGACACACAAAGGTATCGGCAGTCAACGTTGGCAAAAGAAAGATTTAAATAACCAGTTGCTTGCCGAGTAGCCTATAGATTTGCCGACCTATTCGAAAGCACTGGGTGGGCCCTCTTAATAGTAGATGTAAGTGATTGAGGCAGGACTATGTCCTAATAGGTAAATCGGTCCTCGATAATCTGTATCAACCCGACCGAAGCGAGGTCCGTCCTTAAGGTTTCAAAAACAACTTTTGAACTTGGACAACAACTTTCAGGTGATTCTGTTAGGTACAGAAGACACCCCGTATGTGATAAATATCCACAGCTGCTGGAAGGAAGCTTTTTGACCTTTACTAAGATTTAAGGATTTATACAAGGTACTTCTATTAAGCACAAATATTTGTTTTCATTCATTTATCACAACAGATACATTAATAAAGTTCTTATTATTATTCTACGACTGTATCGCGCTTTATAGTCCAATCAGTTCTGTTCATTTCTCCAGTACATTTTCCTGGTATTATTTCAATAAATAGAAGAAAGCGTGCTACTAGCCTAAGTGGATATCCATATCTATATATATATATAGCTATATAGTTCGTAGAGAAAATTTCTCGCACTTGTTGATTCAAAATCCTATTTTCTGCAATAATTAATTCTACTATGGTGTAGATTTGCTTTGCGCCACGTGTCTCTTTTGCAGGAAGCCGACAAGCGTTACAACCGACAGTTACAAGTCTTCTCGCCTACGTTCTGGAATGATGACTTAGCACCTTCGATGCGTAAATTTTACACTGTCCGCCACCGTGGGCAGAATAACGAATGCATTTCTTACAGACTTTCGAGAAAATCCTCCAGAAGTATTCTCTTCCAGAAAGAGACGTTATTGAAGCGCTGTACTAAACATTAGCATGGCACCCTCGTAGAGAAAAAAGCCCCTTTTTGAGAAAAAAAACAATATGGAACACGGTTCGACGGTTATTTGCTGAAAAGTAATGTAATAGTGAAAACAGAAGTCCGTTGCATTAAGAAGACCCATTGATAATAGCCTGGATTAAAGGACGTACGTCACTTTTTATAATGTCTTCACTACCAACGTTGTAGTGCGTACTGCCGTTGCTAATCGGTCCTAGCATTATGCCAATCCAATAGACTAAACCTATTGTCAATTTTCTATAGATCTGACGAATCATTAGTTATTGTAAATATAACTTCAAGATATAAAGACAAGGTAAGCTCGTACGTACTGTATAACGGCGTGAAGACTGCACAACTTCCCTAAAGTTTCCTGCAGACCTTTTTCACGATCGTATGAAATGTATCTTATAATAAAACTCTATGCCAAACATTAGCGATTAGCTGCAATAAAAATGGTAAAAAAAAAACTTCTAAAATATGCTAAGTTTTGCCAATCTGTACTTTTTTTTGGAGAACAACAACCTACAGAGAATACGTAAGGTTTATTTTTGTGCTTAGGCTATGCTATCGGCTGTGTGCAAGACTGGTGCGTTAATAAGCTTAACATTTGCTAGAGCATCAACTGTGCCATCTTTCAACTTAAATTAGGTTGAGCGGAGAAAAAGCTTTCCCATATTTAACCTTTTCAGTTGAAACCCTTTCTGTCAGTATTGTTGATTTTAAAGACAGAACCGAATGGACCGGAACAATAGTCTATGTATCTAGAGGGCTCAATAGCCTATGGAATGATATTGTAAATGGAGCGGATTTCAGTAGTAGGAGATTCAGCTTAAATAGGTTTTAGGTAGTGCTCTGGGGTTCTGCAGGTTTAGGATATTTCATTGGTACCTATTCGGTAAGAAAATACTTTATATAGAAATAGATCTGGTACCAAAAATAATTGGTCACTGTCGAGTGGTTTCACACCAATGACCTCAAGCTTGAATACACTTTGGAAGTACCGCCAAAGAAATGTTTTCTTCGACGGATAAGGTTGACATCATCGAGATAGTATCTAAGCAAAAGTAGACACCCCGACAAGATGTACGTGATCCTCTCAAAACGTTCTAATAGGATGTTTTGATAGTAGAATAGGCATTTATCAAAGTGAAACTTTAGCAACAGTAAGCTTTGCCAGACGTAAGTACGGAACACTTAGAAAAATGACGCCTACTCAACAACTTCGTTGTTGAGTAGGCGTCATTTTTCTCATCAACAACAAGTTGTTACAGTTATCCAAATAAGCCGTTAGTGTCTAATACTGGAGCCGTTAGATGTTTTGAAATGATTACGTATTTGTCTATTAATTTTATAGATACTCAGTGAAGCCGAGCTTAGGCGATCCCTTCAAGATCAGCCATATGTCATATTGCGCGAATCGCAGGGCGCCTATGTTAAGTTTGAATTTAATTATGTATCTTTAATTTTTACCTAAGAAAAAAATCGGCCAACAAAATGTATAGTATCATTCATATAATATATTCTAATGGCAATATTCACATTAGCAAAACAGGGATTAACTAATCAAGTTGGTAACTGATTTCAGAATACCTGATTTCGTTACTCATTTCCTGGTCACACTGCTAAAGGCGAAAAGTACGATTGGAAAATTTAAATCAAAATCCTCTTTAGTTGTTTTTTAAATATAATAAAATACGACTAACTTAAAAGTTATATTCAGTTTCTTAATTTTAGTGTGTTAACATATTTGAGACGCGTCATACACAGCTACGAACGAAGGAAATTTCTGGTATTATTTAAGGATCATCTGACCTTTCAGACACTTCCTGAACGTATAATGCAAGCAATTTATTTAAAATTTAAACACCAGTTCGCTTATATATTTCCTAGTATCTAGACGAACCTTCATACTCACCTCTGCAGCGGGCAGCACATTTAAACGTGGAAGCTCCATTATGGCGGACTTGTCGGGGGCATCAAAGGGAGACCTACGATTCACCGAGGCCTTCTCCACCCAAAATGTGCCTGAAACGTCGACAGCAGAGGACGACCTGTAGAATTAGATATATCATGTGTTTGGATCTTTCTCCGATGCGGCCTTTCGATCGTGATAGGCTGGACATGAAATCCCCTGTTTCTAGGTGGGCCATTCCATAGCGACGACTGTCGACAGTTTATTTACGACCCACGAGTAAAGCAAGCGTTTACTGTTTTGCCTCGAAGTAACGCAGCAAATTCAAATCGGTGCTTTGAACACTGATATTTGTAATTGGTTATACTACGGTTTCGCAATTCCCTCGGAACATCAGAAGCTGTACCAAAATCTACGACTAAATTTACGTTCCAGGTGAATGTCCATGTTACATTTTCACTAAAGTGATATTTTTGTCCTGAAATGTAGTAGACGAAGTGACGGCCATATCCGCTTTAGGGCTTCTGATAGAACTAACTTCCACTTTTTACCACTACTTGCGTCTTGATCCTTGTAGTGTTATGGCAAGGTGTTTTCCATTGAATATAGGCGTAATTATTAAAAGGAAACTTTCAATAACAGCTTCTATACAATTAATCTTACAGAATTTGCTATTCAAAGCGCAATAAAAGTTATGTTGCTACCGTAACTGCAGCAGTAAAATTCAACATGATACATATGTTCTTAAGTCAAAAACGTTAAAAACCATTCAAGTACTTATTCGTGCTTAAGTATAAGAGTATCACTCAAGCATAAATTGTATCACTCAAAAAATCTATTAAAAAATGAGTAGAAGTCTAAACAAAGTCTTTCGATTTTTCTTCAGTTATCCTTGTTAGCCGGGTGAAAGAGTCGGTAACTCATTAATCGAAAATAAAATTCATTGTATTCTTTCAAAGTCAATATCTTACAGTTATTTCTCGCGTGTGTTGTATATATATATATATATATATATATATAATTTTTTCCGACTCATTCTAGATGTTTCTATTCATAACAACTTAAGAGCAATCGAAGCTTAATTCCTGTTTTTCTATGCAGTTTTTTGCAGGCATTTGAAGGTGGTACGTATCTCGTCTACACTCTACACATCAGTAACCTGCCGGATTATAGGGATACAAATACCTATTAAATATTTTCTGAACTTACATTTCCCCCACGTTTTTATACCATCTTGATGTTATACGAATGCCCAAATGGCCGGATCCATAAATTAAATAAACTGTACTCAAGTTAGCTTTAGAAACGCCTGCCACTTGTAAGTTAACTAGAGAATTTCTGTTCAAAGCAAGTATAACTTATATTAGGAAATTAGTTAATGCACAGACTTCTGTCTCCTACTAAAGCATCACATGGTGAATTTGTTTATACTACCAGTTGCCGAACGTCGGGTTCTGTCACCACTTTAGTTACAAGTTCCTTCCGTCACCCATTGATACAATCTCCTCTGGCTTCTGATGACGTGTTATACTTGTATGTCCTCACACGACTTTTCTGACAAATGTATCGCGTGGTAAGTTAGATCTGACTTTAATCTTACTTGTTTTTTTTAAACACGTAGCGGTTTATTGTTCTTGGAATATCAGTTTGACTGATCAAGGGCGAACGTGCTACTAAGGCTAATGCCGTTAGTAGTGTATTCATTGATAAGAAGAAATTTTTGTTTGGTGAAATGGCTGGCACATAATTCGGCGGGATTTAAAGCTGAATAAGCTTTGAACTAATTTGAATGATGATTTTTAATATATGTACTCCTTTGTATTTTCTACACACCCGCTTCAGCACTCTGGCAGCTTTTGGATAGCCATAGACATATCACTTGTGTTCCTATAGAGAAATCATCTATCCCTGGAGTTTCAAAAAGAGTCGATAGTGGTTGTGCTTGCCTACCAGTTGTTCCTCTTAGGGTATAGAAAGCCCTGTAATCACATCGATTTCTAGGTTTGAACAATAACCTAGTCAACATTGAATATTCCTGTGTTCGGTCCAAGAGGTAGCTGAGGCATGGGGATCGAGTCTTGCATTATCGTCAAGTAACCAGATTGTATGCTTTCGATTGTCGTACCAACAGCTCATAAATCCCTCAAAAAACTCGATTTTCTCCAAGGCGATGCCATTCTTTCACCTGGTTTTCTCCAACTAGCATTAGGGATTGGATCATGCCTTTTCTATCCTGACTGTCCGCTCCAGACATTTTTTAGTTGATTAAAGTTCCACAAATAACACGTTCAAGAAACCACATGCATTTCCGATTGGCCTGGAGTCCATTTCAGGGGCACCCCTCTTTAGTAAGTTCAGTCCGCGCTTTCAGCATTTGGATTATAATTCTGTAACACGTTGCTTGTGAATCAAGAAAAAATAGCTCTTACATTAAATTGTGTGCCTTAGTTTTTTCAATTGTTGTAATGCGTACTTCTTCGGGTCTGCTTACCTCTTCGCCTGCATCTAAGAGACCAGTCTCTATTTTTGCAGCGTTCCCAATATTCATGTAGAATCTGTCACTTAAGACCTCTTCTCTAATGTCTTCAGCTAATTTCCGCAATGGCAAAAATTTGAGCAGTGATTTTCGAGAGCGAGAGACGGTTTTCCTTTTAAAATAATTTTTAAGAGGAACTATTTTCAGTAGGAGCGAATAGGAATAAACGTAACCCATTTTGAAACAGCGCAAATTTCGACTGAGTGATTACTTATTTAATTTCAAAGCCAGCCTGATTTGGTCGGAAATGCCTCATATTTTTTTGACAATCCGGCAGACGGAGTGGGCAATACCCTTGCAATCGGCCTGACTGTTATCCTTACTCTATTATTATGTGAAATGTAATTTATAAAGTATAAGCTGCTTTGCCATTGTAAATGTGTAAACTCAGAAATATAACAACAATAACTAAGCAAACAACACATAATGAAAAGGCCAGAAAAAAAGATCTTGTCGCACTCTCTTTTCCTGCTTGGAGGTCAAAGCAGTGCAAAAGGTCCCAGCTGACTCACGGCCTAGAATTCACGCCCTACATATTCATCCTGTGCTACAATATTAGGCTGGTCACGTAAGCACCCGCTCGGGTAATGATTTAAAGTAATTAATCAATATAGCGGGTTTGCCAATTTTTAAATCTTTTTATGTTAATACTTCTGCTCTTAATGGAAATAACAATATTCCAAAGATATTGTACAACAGGTCATGGTCCGCTGTTAATTTGAAATAACGAATAGTTAAATATTTTTGGGCAGCACTTCTAAAATAACCAGCACAACTTGTTCGCAGCAGATAACGCTGATGTACCGTTTCGAATAAAAGTGTGCAAGTACTCGTAAAGAGAAAAAGTCGCTTCAAATTGGGCATACCATTGTCGTTTTTTCTTTGGTCCCGTCCGAAATACTGGGCCACCCGAAAGAGGCTATCTAGTCCGAGACAGAGCTTCATGAACGCCAAACTTCATGAAGATGTTAGCTAAGAAGACGCCGTTCGCTGAATATAAACTGGCACGCAATGTTTTCGTTTGGTAACAGTACTTCGCGTTGACTCGAACAGCTCTCACGACACTCCACTACATTGCACTGAAACAGTGTTCAACTTAGGCAAGACACGACGGTGGGGTTGGTGACGCATGACTGATTTGCTGTGTGTGACAATCACGATCGATGTCATCAGCGAGATTTCGGGCGACAGTCAACTGAAGCTCAAAATGAGGGTGTCGCTAGAGAAGATAGAGGGAACGATCTCGGATTTGAATCTCTCTTATTCCACACGCTTTACTCGCTAGTCACTTTTCTAGAAACCACGTTTTGTTACCAATTCACCGCGAAGAGCAAGCGAAGCACGAAAACGATGTGGTTTTCAAGGATGTTCATGACGATTGTATGAATTAGCTACCATTTATATTCCTTCTTACAACACCAGCATAACTGATCCTTAGCATTATTTATTCATTTGAACCACTTTTTAAGGAGATACGAATTCGGTCTTCTTATTTCGATGACAACCCTGTCCGCTTGCGGTGGCATGCACAGTCGAATCACACATGCTATTTGCGGCTATCGTTTCCGTCATCGACAATTTTGTATGACGTCCGTAACCCTTTTAATCTAGTTGGTGCTCAATGCACACGTGTACCACGCATAGCCCTTTCGGTAAGCTGGGGATTTTCCAAAAATTGTTGATAAAACTAGGTAGATTGCCGTATGTGATAAAGTCATGCAAAATGACCTACCGAGATAGACCCGGTAAAGTCGTTGGGTTTCTGTTCAGAGAAGTCAACACAAACATGTCGCCAGCAACCGAGCGAGCAAGGGTAGAGATTTTGCACTCCCAATGCGGATCAATAGCATAGTTAAAAATGTCAGATCGACAACAGCATAATCGAATGAATAGGACTATAACAGGTGGCCACAGAGCTCTGTAACTAAGTCACAATTCAACCAACCTTGAGCACTGATTCAAAAGTATCTCTTGAATTATTGCTTGATCATCTGGATGAAAGGCACTCGTTAGCAAGGGGATTACCAACCCTCGTACGACTATGAACAAAACAGTCCCAATTCATTCGTTGAAACGTATGAGAAAAGCCGCGTGGCAGAAGCCGTTTGCAACATAGTTTCTTGGCAGAATAATGAAGACAGTGCAGATATGCAAATGGAAGTGCAAGTCAAACGCTTCGTTTAGTTCCCACCATAGTCAACTTGCACTTTCGCCTCCACTTAGCGTATATCTGAACCCAAGTTCCCGCGATCGGCGCAGTTACTCTACTGATATTGTTTATCCTAAGAAAACGCTAGCACATGCACGCGATGGAACACAACTTTTGATTGCAACAATATGCCTACTACGACATGCTTCCAAGGTCATAAACGACATTTTTTTCATCGCTGTCATCCTATCCAGTGAGAAGATGTTTGGGTTTTCACAAATGGAGTTCTTTGTGCGGCTGTTGATATCATTGAAAATATATCGACTAGGCAGCCAGTGAATTGTAGTGCGCTTGAAGTTCCCGCTTAATCATTAGCTTGGAAAAATACATTGAGCGCATGTGATGTTGCGTGATCTGATCGAATCTACTAGTTGACTCTTTGCCGAACAATAGCCGTCATTTATAAGCAGTGTAGCTTGACGTCTTTACAAACGTGGCCAAAAAAAAAAGCTCACTCGGATCTGTCATGGAGCCAATATCGACGGTCATCGATTCGTGCGGTTAGATTTCATTGACGGCGGCAGCACATTGGACAGCTTATCCGAGATAAGCCCAAGCCGAGATTAAATAGTCAGTCGTCAGTCGAAAACCGGTAGCAACAGCATTAACAACAGCCATACCATTTATTCAAGGCTGTCCATCCGTTAGTACTTTCCACCGCCATAGTCTACCACCGGCACCACCACCGCCATCGAGAGAGAAAGCCGCGCGCTTTTTGCCCACGCCGCTCCACATCATCAGCAGTAGCAGCGGCAGCGGGGTACTTAGCAGAGCGCAGCACGTCACTCAGCAGAAAGCACAATCAGTTCAGTAGATAATCAGTGTCAGTCAGCCACAAGAGCGTTTGACTTTGCTGTGCTGTGGCCTTCTGGGTGAGAGACGCAGAGTGGCAGCATTAACCTAGCCAGCCAATGATAATCTAGTGTGGATACACCAGGAGCGACACCCATTCCTTCTGTCGCAGCAGTAGCAGTTGCTGTTGCTGTTGCTACTAGAAAAGCAGCACTGACGACGGCGGCGGCGGCGGCGGCGGCGGCGGCGGCGCTGGTTCCGCCGTGTCCGAACGCGCGAATAATTTCTATAAACAATTTTTGAGTTACCCTGGGCGCGCCGCTGCTGATAAATCAACAACGAAAGAAATTGTCCTGTTTTCGTACGCTCTCACCCATAGTCAACATTTTGGAATCTGAAGAATAGATAACAAACATCAATCGACGACCGATTAGTATATATGTACGTTACCGCTGACCGGTCGAAATGCAACACGGCAACATCCAGCGACGCTCAATCGGGACCCAACAACAATGACATTATACAGCAACGACCAGCTGATTCTGGCCTTTATTATGTGGCCTTCTTCGGTTCTTATATCCCTTCGTTGACTTATCACTGATAGAGAGCATTAGGCCGATTAATCAAATGATCAGTCGCTCACTCGGTGCTTCTACAAATCAACAATAACTAGTGCCATCGCTGCCGCCACGACGTGGACGGTCTAATAACCTGGCTAACGGGACCGCTAACAATATTGACTTGGAACACCTCACATCAGAATTCACTAGCCGAAACAACGAACGCTGAAGCATCGAATCTTTGACTCTTATCCAGCTTGACTTTCCTCCACAATTTTTTACATAAGTGCTCCGTTCTGGATTTAGAAACATCGAGTTCCATTCCCGAACTGAAATGAGAGTATCTCCGAGAGATACTGTCGAAATGTAGATATCGATCTCGGAATAGTTTTTATATTAATACACAACTTGTGTGTATATGTCTGTGCGTACAGTCGCTTACCTACTCGTTCCTAGTTTTCTTGCATGCTTGAGTCATGCAGTCACGCGCACAACACCGTTCCCATCACTACTCCTCTCAGCATAATCATCATTATTATCGTAATTTTTCGTATTCTTCTGTTGCTTCGTTAGCTTTCCTGCAAGCAACACAACATCTGTCAACGGAGAAGGACTACCGTCTTGCGAACAGGAATACACACGGGATGAAGATGGACCCGACTGCTGGTTTAAGCCAGCGCCGCCGTCGCGCCTATCCACCGCCGAAAAATACTGGGGCAACAGCGCCCTCTGTGCTCTCGAGGGTCACTATGATCACGGCAGTCATGGCCAGTACAAACATAATCGTCATCATCTGCACAACCCGACGCAATCATTATTATGGGCATCCGCAAGCCATCCGAATATCATACACTCATCGCTGCTTCCGCCTTCTATTTGTTTTCACGGTCCTGTCTGGCTTGACCGCTGTTGTTGCTACCGCTGCTAGTAGTGCTTGGTGTCTTTCCGCGGTAAAGAACACGTATCTACACATACGTATACGTAGACAGAAGAACGGATCATCAGAATGCGACGAATTTTGCACCTGCAGCCACCGCCGCTTATACCACTGTGGGGAAAGGGGACGCAGCGATGGCAGCGGCCACAGCAGCGTCGACCTGCCCGCGCCGGGGAAGCACTACGCGTATGATTGAAGACGATAAAAAAAGTTTAGTAGGAAAGCCTGTTAAGTGAGAACCATCATAGTATCGTCCTGCGTCCGAAATTTGCTTGCTGTTGTTGTTAGCGTGTAAGCTACTAGTTCGGAATATTGTGACAACAACGGACTGACAAACGGTTAAGCAGCAGATAAAACCGCGACAATGATTTTGGTCGACGTAAAAATTCAGCGGACAGCAGCAGAAGTCGACACATCTGCTGTCACCTCACGTCGTCTGTCCTGACCTTCCCCAGCAGCAGGAACGAGTCGAACCTAATAAAATAGTTTGAGTCAAGCCTTACCAAGGTTAACATATAATAAACAGTAGAGCGTATCTGTCACTGATTGGTGGAATGATGATAACAACGTTGAGTTGTTGCATAATGTCAGCAATGTTCAGATGTGTCTAGGCTGAATGTCAGCTATTGTCGTATGAGTGTAGAGAGCATATGCGAAGTGGTCCTACGAAGGCGACACACTTCTATTGTTTTGTCTCTCCAAAACGATCAGTCGACTAGCAGCAATGGAAAAATGGCCGTAGTAAATCAACAAACCTTTTTCCAGGCCAACGGCCAAAACCATTGATGTCGGACAGAAGCATTTAGCTTGTGGTAGAAAAGCGTCGAAATAGACTGCCGCTGCCCGCAGTATAATACGTTATCCTTCAGCGCAACATAAGGCGGCGCAGTTTGGCGTTCAGTATAATACTAAGAAATGACAAATATTTTGACAGGTGTAAAATACGTTCCGTAAGACATTCTGACAGCACCGCAGTAATGAACCGCGCTATTCTGCTAATATTCTGTTGGGGCAGTTTGCCCCACGTAACACAGGTCAGCTCATTGAAACGCAAATGACTCTTGGGTTTACTTCGATCAATCCAATTCGTAGATTGATTAACGGTTTAAAAAGCCAATAGCTTCACCACGACGCTGACTAAAAAAGAACGAAGGCATAACGTTGGAGAGAGTCGTAATTAAACTAGCCTCAGGTAAAACTCCCATATACTTGCGCTTTTAGTGTAGCTTCGGCAATGATATTAATCAACATGGTGGTCGGTCGCTTAAACCGTCGATCGATTGAATTGCTTAAAATTCATTGTAAATAGTGTACGTTACTGCGACCGTATCTCTGCCTATACGCGTAGATTCCAACGTTAGTGGAGCTGTCAGGTTATAATAGCCAGTTCGTACGGATTTAATGGAAAGAATGATCTTTATAATTGCCATGATTTGACCTTAACTGTGCATCATTTTCTAGGCTTGCCTATTGACCACAGCATGGTAATTGAGAACAATGGCGTTCTAACTCTGTCTACGTTTTTCTGCATATTTTTTACTCTATGTTGGTAACAAATGCACATAATGGTAGAATAAATCCCAACTGACAAGTCACTGGCCATAAGGACAGCGTGTACTTTTAATTTAGCTGCTAATTTCGTTCGAAACAACTCTACGATAACAAAGTCCCGGACAGACGAAACGCGAATCTGTCAGCTGAAGTTACTGTATGCGATTTATAGTTTGTTCCGGGCCTCTTTCGTGGGTCTTGCTTGGCTATTTCAGTCTGTCGATTAGGATTGGCCGAAATCAGTCAGAGGGAAAAGACGGAAAAGCAAAGGGGAGGATATAAAAGAGTCGAACCGGGCTCAAAATGTAATATACGCGTTTACGTGGAATCCAAACGCCATAAACCAACGGCTCTTCTAGACTGGGAAAATACTCCGTTGATTATAGAGGCCGAGCTATATAAATAACATAATAAGAGCAGGTATCATTATGGTGCTCGGTTGGGTGCTTCTAGAATAGGTGCCCTGTTAGGAAGTTTCCGTGATCATTTTGAAGATAAATGCGTTCTCCGGCGGCCGATGGCAGGAATCAAGAGCAGGTACATACGCTGCCCGAAGACGACGTCAGTGAATCGCACCAAGCAAATGTAAGGTACCTTCATTTCATAATGTCTTTTTTAAAAAAGAACCGTGGTTTTAGATAAGTTCGGTGCCTGGCAAGCGTCCCTTGTCAGTGCATTCATATATAGTAAATTGGTTGAAGTAGCACCAGGCACGGCGATGGCTCCGCTCAACCCGTTCGTAAACTCGAATTGACCCGTGAAAGATCATGAACGACGTGTATGGGAAGGATGTATATCAATTCAGAAATTAGTTCCGTTATCAGTGCGTCCTATTTAATCTTCCGACGAACATAAATGGAGCGTTATCGTTTTCCTTTTTTTGGTTGACTTTCGCATTATTTGTTGCAATTCATTGTTTCATTGAAGTTCGTCCTCCTTAGAAAAATTCCCGATATTGGCGCTCTCTGGCACTCTTCAAAAGCACTGTAATCTAAAAGAACGACTAGAGACAGCCACTAAGAAAACAGCTGGTTTTCATATTTATTTATGGTTTGTGCCCACGAGGTTAGCAGGAGTCGAACGCCTGAAGCCAAGTTTTGTATTATGCACAAGTATATAAATATTTGCTTACATGTTAAAACAAACTCAGTCTTTTCTCCAAGGTATTCTTGAAGGACACAATTCACTCGGCAGTACAGTGTGCCATCATTTCCAACACAGGATGAAGGCAGACGAGTGAAGTGTAAAATTTGCTAGTAATAACAATATCTGATGTATAAAATATGCGACCGTAACAAGCGTACGACTAGATGACAAAGATTGCTATATATTTCGCCATAACGCCCGTAGCTGAAGCGTCTTCCCGTTTTCGGTATCGAGGTAATTGTATATTCTGTGATGCAGTGATGGTGACTTCGTCTTAATGTGCATTTGAGTACGGCAAAAGAATGACATCTGAGGCCTTAGAAAATGCCCTGAAGCTCTGTTCTACCTCGAAGCTAAATTTCGTAGCGGTTAAAATATACGCAACTCTCTTAACTACAGTTTAAAGATAGGTTTTATATAGAACAAAAAAATTGCTTCTGAATCGTGTTAGACATTATACAAAAGCGTGTTTTGATTAAATAATTCAAATATAAATATAAATAAAATGAAAAAAGTTATCACAGATCTGCCTTAATGAGATTTCTAGCCATCAACTAAAGCAAAAATCGTTTACTCTTCGTCCTACTCTACTTCTTTTTCTGTAGAAGTCAGACCTACACAGTTTCTAAAGAACTATGTGTTTTCCAGATAAAACTCTGGAACTGCCCTAGCACAGTGTTGGGCGATTAACTCTCAACAGACACACCTGTTTCAAGGTTTCAACATAAGATTTATATAGTGCCTTCAAGTTTAGTAAGCCCATATCGCGTCATGTAGCACTGAAGAGACAATATTGCATCTTTTTGGTTTTATTTCAGCCCAAAAATGAATAGATGTGAGCTTTTATTTAAGGGAATATTTCTCGAGTTCTATAGGTTCTGCTAGCAAGAACAACATTTTCAGTGTTAGTGTAGTACTTCGAAACTGTCCATATGAAACAGCTGCAAATTTAACAGCTGCAAATTTAGAGTGAATTGTCAAGCATCGGCCAAAAAAAGGTAAATGTGCATTTATTTGTGTTTTTGTTCAAAACTGATAGACGCCTGCTACGGTCAGTGTTATGGTATGGCCGTAACATACATATACATATATATGTATATCATCGTGTAACTAACAAAATGATACATATACATATACCGTAACGTTTTGCTAGTTTTTTTTTCCTTTTATGTAATTTTCTTTGCTTGGATCTATAGATATGAGAGACTTATAACCAACAGAAAATAAGCTGTTCAACTTCCATCCAGGGTGGGTGTTCTGCACTCATTTATGCTACTATAACTTGGCAGTTACAATATGATATAGAGTTGCAATTTGCAGTTCGACTAGAATGCCAGATACGGATTACATCTAGTAAAAATAATGCTGTATATAGCCGACCACAAAATTAGGACACGCCTCGTTACCCTAGTCAATGGATTAGACAATGCCTACACTTCAATGCAACATATCATTCACTAATCATGCTAATTGGCAGATTATGTATAGAGATCTATAAATAATGATAGTTGATTGCTTTCAATAAGCAAACATCAGGTGAAGCTAACCACAACACCTTGAAGCAAGCGAACTCCTTCAGGTATCTATGGACCTCGACGACTTCAACGAACGGAGTTTTGAGAACTGCTACCCGGGGAAAACACAGCTTTACCTAAGAGTTTGCGTTATTTTGCCAAGTATCATTAAGCATGGTCAGTGGCTCAAGAGGACAGCATGGGTAAAAGCTCTCACAAATTGTACCGCAAAGGACTCGATTTTCAGACACCCTTAATACATCCCTACTTAAGTCCATTTTCAGTTTGTTTCGGACGTGCGTCAGAACTTGCTAGACGGAAGGGGTGTGCACACTCCCTGCCATTTACTAGAACGCTATTTCAAAAGCCATTGTTGTAAAATTTTGCGCATCTGATCCAGCAAATGAAGAGGAACGTCAACGTCCATGTAGATTGACCGTATCAGGAGTTGCTCAGGGATGCAGTAATGTAGGCAATTTGTCTTCGTACTCCTTAAGTGATTCCGTTATATGATTTCTGTATAATAACTTCGGCCTGCGCAAAATGTAATACGACATATATTTACGAAGATCGCCGGCAATCGTATAGCTGATTTCATTTCCATCAGAAAGATTATTGCGACGTATAGTACATCTAAGCTAGTAGAGCCCCAGAAAAGCTTTTGATATCGTCAACTACAGGTGATCCTTACTTTTAGGCGCCCTTATATATCTGAATATGTAACGACTGCGGACAAATAAATAGAAACCTGCATGCTGAGGTATACATCAATGTGTGTTTGCTTACTTAAATCGGAACGCTTATACGAAAACAAAAGTGATCGATTTCACCGAATAGCAAGTGGACGCTTCTACGAACTATGAAGAAAAGCCGGACATTTTCCAAACGTTTGTTTCAGTAAAAATATTACGTGCTATTGAACACTATGTGGATAAAAAGTAGCGCGTACCAGCTCCTCTCACGTCGAACTTTCGCGTGAATGCTTCAATACAGACAGTGGGCGCAAGAGTCGGACTGTTATCGGACTAGAAATGAGGCATGATAAACTCAACTATGCACTATTCGTATATCAAACAACGAGAAAGCTACTCATCTATTATTAAGGGAAACAATATGAGAGAAACCGCAAGACCCTACGCGAATATTTACCCGGATACAAAATTATTCCTTTTAAGGAATACGGTATCCCTGTAAAAGAGAGCATCAGATTTGTTTTGAAAATCATTCTATATAAAACTATGTTTAATGAGCTCTAATGCTACAAACGGTGGTCGATCTTTCAAAGTTTGGTATGATATTTTACAAGATGAGTTTTAGCTAGACAATGTCCTTAGTGCGAAATATCGGCGCGAACCATGATAGCACATGGATCGCAAACGAATGCCTGTATACTATAAATATATTCTAAACCTTTCAGCGATTATATAGCTATAACGCAGGTATATTATTTTGGGGAAGAGGTATATGTATATAAAGAACATGTTGTTTCTAGCCGTTTCCAGTCGGAAACTGAACGTTCCGCACAGAATAACTCGCCGGTACTCAATTGTACAGCAAGACTCAGTTAACTTAGCATTGAAACCTTCTAACTACGTAAAGTTTTTGTTGCTATGTGAACCGAGACGCAGCGCTAAGATGATTTTGGCCATGCATCGAAAATGGTCTGTTTTAGCGTGTCTAATTTCTAACCTCGCGCCATTTGCATGACTGCATGACTAAGTTGAAAACATCAGCAGACGATTTTTCAAAACCTAATTGTTAATTATTTACGTTATAGCGAGATCTTTTTAATGACTTCCTACGATCGAAATCGGGTAAGCTTGACATGCGAGCAACAAAATAGTCTCACAAATTATTCGAAAGACTGGTGTTGTTCTAGGCGAAGTTTGATGAATTCATGATCCATTTTAATTTTGAAGGACACCCGTACGATCGTTGTCCTGCTCATGTGAACTCGCGCCTTGCCCATTTTTTTCAACCACATAACCTATTGGAATAGACCCTGTACAATTTGGGGGCTAAGGGAATGTATACTTTGTAAAATTGAACGATGTGTGCTAGCTAGTTGTATCGGTAGCTAGTACACATTTATTCGCTGTGGAAAAAAATCCGAGAACTTCTAAGAAGCAATATTCCCTTGTGGTCAGGTAACCTGGACATACAAACATGTTAAATCTCTACGGCACAATAGATCATTAACAACAATTTTAGCAATTAGGAAATAATCTAAGAGGAAATACCGGTGTAAACGTAGTATTGTATATCGCCTCATCTTTAAAATAAGCTGTCAGCGTCACATTTGACGTGAGAAGTTACGCAAACAATGACAGTGTAACAGAAAGAGTCAACTTCCGTCTTTATCACTTAAATTCGTACGTATTCGTTATGGTAGAATTTTTTGAC